TGCCTTGCATGCATGAGGCCCTGGGTTCGATTCCTCAGCACCGCAGAAGCAGAAGCAGCCCGAAGTGACGCTGTGGCTCAAGTGGTAGAACGCTAGCCTTGAGCTGAAGAGCTGAGGGTCAGCGCCCAGACGCAGAGTTCAGGCCCCACCATCCACACACACACACACACACACACACACACACACTCTCTGGAAAGTCAGCGTTTCCATCCTCAATATGTACGTAGGAGTCGCCCTGGCGGGAAAGGAGCCTTCCAAGGAAGCAGAGAACCAGACTAAACTGCTGCACCTTTACCTAACTTTTCTTTCGATAGTAGGCAGTGACCAAGATGGCCGCCAGGGGGCGGCGTTGGCTCAGCTCCCGCCCGTTGGCGTGCCCTGGAGCGAGTTCGGGATGGTTGACTGGGACAGGGGAGCCTTGGGGCCCTTCCAGGCCTTCTGCGCCCCAACTGTGACAGGTGCTGTCTTCATTTTGTTCGTGGAGAAGCTGAACTGGGATTTGCACACCGGGACTTTCTGAGTCCTAAGCTGATAACTGCTCCTACGCGTCTGTTCCTAAAGGATTCCTGCTATTCACTTAGGCATGGACTTGGTTAAAATGCTGCAGAGGGCCAGGCATGGTGATACATGCCTGTAATCACAACGTTCCAGAGGCTCGAATTGGAGGCCTGCCTGAACTACATAAAAAGGTGCAGGCCAGGCTTGCGTATCTAGCGAGACCCTGTGTGAAAAGAAAGAAAGAGCTAAGCGCCAGTGGCTCATGCCTGTAATCCTTTCCTGCCAGCCTGCACAGTAAAGTCCATGAGACTTTTATTTCCAATAACCCAGTAGAAAACCGGAACTGGGGCCTTAGCTCAAGCAGTAGAGCGCTCACCTTGAGCTGAAGAGCACAGGGACACCACCCAGGCCCAGAGTTCAAGACCCTTGGCCAACTCTTGCCCTCCAGGGCTGAGTGTAGTAGGACAGCTGGCTTGGAGGAAGGGTGATGTAGCAGCTGGAATTTGATCCAGGTGGGAAGCTAGCAGGCGGAAGCAGACACTCTCAGCTAGTCTTTCCCTCTATGAGAGACACTTAACTAACTCCCTATACTTTAGCCTGGTTCTGAGTTTGCCTCTTTGAGAGGCAAATTCTGTTGCTTTTCCTTCTTGATATGTATCAGCCACAGAGATGCCCTTCTTTATCCCATCTTTCCCCACTCTCCATTGCAATTCCTGGTCCATCAGAGCAGGTCCTTATCCACCTTACTCAGAACCTACAATGACATCTAACACCTACTAGCTATTCCATGTATCAATGTTAAATGTGTACAAGTCCAAAATGTTTTTTTCTGTGAAGAAATCCCTGAGGGTATGGGGCCTGGGCTGAGGGGCTTGAACTCAGGACCTGGATGCTGTCCCTTAACTTTTTCACTCAAGGCTCTATTATTTGAGCTACAGCTCTACTTTGGGCTTTTTGGTTAAGAGTTAAGAGTCTCATGGACTTTCCTGCCAGGTGCTGGTTTTCAACCACGATTCTCAGATCTCAGCCTCCAGTGTAGCTAGGATTATAAGCGTGAGTCCCCTGGGCTGTGATCTTGTGAGAGGAAGGCTGTGGAAGTGAGGCTGCTAGAAGAATACCCCATTGATAGTTGGAGAACAGCCATTTGGGCAAGGTAGGAGTGGGGAAGCAGGGACGAGAGTTCCTGGTTAAAGGAGGCAGAGAGTGGGAGAGAGTGGGTTTGTCCACAGCTCCAGTCCTTCACTCCTCCCCAGCCCCACCTCCTCACTCCCATTTGTGCACCAAGACCTTTTCAGCAAACTGGGGAGATAAAGGGTGGAGTGAGATTGTCAGTTTCATTTCCTTTATCAGATATGTGACAATTTCTATCTTGGGTGTGAATCTCAGGAGACTTTTTTTTTTTTTTTGCCAGTCCTGGGGCTTGAACTCAGGGCCTGGGCACTGTCTCTGAGCTTCTTTTACACAAGGCTAGCAGCCTACCACTTGAGCCACAATGCCACTTTCGGCTTTTTCTGTTTATGCAGTGCTGAGGAATCCAAGCCAGGGCTTCATGCATGCTAGGTGAGCACTCTACCACTGAGCTTCCTTCCCAGCTCTCAGGAGAGATTTTATAGGAGAAATGTTAAAGCCTCAAATGTGGCAGAAGAAACAAAAAACCTGTGTGTATTCAGTTTCAGAGTCATTCTAACCATTGCTCAAAGCCAAGTTTGGCCAATTTCTAGCTGGGTAACTTTGGATAAATTACCTAACTTTTCCAGTGCTCCTGTGTGCTTCAGATCCTTCCCTCCTCCTCTCTTCTTCCTCTTTTTCCTGGAGTTTGATCTCAGCCTTGAGCTCTCTGCTTTCTTGCTCAAGGTTGGAACTCTACCACTTGAGCCATGCATCTAGCCCAGCATTTTACTGGTTAATTGGAAATAGAGTCTCCCAGACTTTTCTTTTCTTTTCTTTTTTTGGGTCCAGTCGTGGGGCCTGAACTCTGGGCCTGGGCGCTGTCCCTCAGCTCTTCAGCTCAAGGCTAGCACTCTACCACTTAAGCCACAGCGCCACTTCCAGCTTTTTTCTTTTTGCTTATGTGGTGCTGAGGAATCGAACCCAGGGCCTCAAGCATGCAAGGCAAGCGCTCTACCACTGAGCCACCTTCCCAGCCCTCCCAGACTTTTCTACTCAGGCTGGCTTCCAACTTAGATTCTCTAGGTCTCAGTCTCCTGAGTAGCTAGAACTACATGAGCCACCAGTGCCCAACCAGCTCTTTTCATACTAACCTTACTTCCTGAACTTGAGTTGCATATTACAAGAGGCAAAGATTAAGTGCCTGGGTTAATCCTAGGCTTGGGCCTGTCATTGGATAGGGCAGTGGTTGTCCCATCCCTGGGTCTGCTCTGTATCTGTCTCTTCTAAATTTGCTCCACTCCTGGGTGTTGCTGTAATCTGTCACCCCCTAGTCTGGGGTGATAATAGTGAATTTTCTCAGGTCCTAGACTAATTTCCTAAAGTCTTCAGGGATTTCAGGAGGCTCCCTGTATTGTTGGGGTGGGTGGGAGTGGGCCAGGTGGCTGATTGTGTAGCAGGAAAGGCGGGGAAGAAGGAGGTGGCAAGGCATGCTGGTGTTAAACAGATGGAAACTTATTTATCAGCACTTGGTTGAGGCTGGTGAGCAGGAAAAGGGCTGGCCCTGCTGTCTGGCAATGACTTCCTCTCTTCCTTTTCCAGTCCCCTTTCCATACAGCCTTTGAAAAGTTTATCCTACTGGCATCCACTGTGTCCTTTTGGTCACAGTGCCCTTTGTGACATCCTTTCAGGGCTGCCCCTTATGAAATGGTCGAGGTAATTCGGTCCTGTGTCCCTTCTAACTGGTCTAACATACAACTAGGGAGCTTCTGGAAAGCTTTCCTGAGGCTTCCAATCAACATTTTCTCTGTGTACTCTAAAATTCTACAAGGATTTATCTCAGGATTTATAGAGGCCCAATTTAGCCAAGCACTGGTAGCTCACACCTGTAATCCTAGCCACTCAAGAGACTCAGATCTATGGATCATAGTTCAAATGAACCTATACAGAACCCTTATCTCCAATTCACTGGCATAAAGCCAGAACTGGAGCTGTGGTTCAAGTGGTGGCGAGCTAGCCTTGATTGAAAAAGCTAAGGGAAGCCAGGTGCCGGTGGCTCACACATATAATCCTAGCTACTCAGGAGGCTGAGATCTGAGGCTCACTGTTCAAAGCCAGCCCGGGAAGGAAAGTCTGTGAGACTCTTACCTCCAAGTAACCACCAGAAAACCAGAAATGGCGCTGTGACTCAAGTGGTAGAGCTCTTCAGCTCAAGGTGAACGCTCTACTGCTTGAGCCACAGCGCCACTTCCTGTTTCCTAGTAGTTTACTGGAGATAAGAGTCTCACTGACTTTCCTGCCTGGGTTAGCTTTGAACCGTGATCCTTAGATCTCAGCCTCCTGAGTAGCTAGGATTACAGCGTGAGCCACTGGCACTGGGCTTCCCTGAGCTTCTTTTGCTCACCCCCCCCCCCCCCCCCCCCCCCGCAAAAAAAAAGAAACAATGGGGTTAACACCACCAATTAGCTATTTTATAAGGCCCCAGATTAACTCTGGCTTGGAAAATCAATTGTGAAAGGTAAGGAGACAGACTTATAAGGCTCTATGGGAATATATATATATATATATATATATATATATATATATATATATTTTTTTTTTTTTTTTTTTTTTTTTTTGGGTCCAGTCATGGGGCCTGAACTCTGGGCCTGGGCGCTGTCCCTCAGCTCTTCAGCTCAAGGCTAGCACTCTACCACTTGAGCCACAGCGCCACTTCCGGCTTTTTTTTCTTTTTGCTTATGTGGTGCTGAGGAATCGAACCCAGGGCCTCTGGCATGCAAGGCATGCGCTCTACCACTGAGCCACCTTCCCAGCCCCAGGAATATATTTTCTTTGGCCTAAGGGAGTGCATGTGGGCAGGTAGCTCTGTGGGAATATTAAGATATTTCACAGCTGGGCACCAGAGGCTCATGCCTTGAACTCTAGGTACTCAGGAGGCTGAGATCTGAGGATCACAGTTCAAAGCCAGCCTGACAGAAAAGTCCCCATGAGACTCTTACTTCCTATTAATCATTCAAAAACCGGAAGTGGAATTGTGGCTCAAAGTGGTAGCGATCTAGAGTAAAAGAGCTCAGGGGCAGTGCCTGAGTTCTGAGTTCAAGCCCCACAACCGAAAAAAAATATAACTATTTCTCTCTCCTCTGGAGTCAAATACTTGCCACAGCTCCTTCTCTTTCTCCCACCACCCAGCCCTGATTAATCCTAGGCTTCATTAAACATATTAGCATACTGTAGAAAAAAAAATCAAAGCAGATACAGCCTCATCAAACGTGCACCACAGCCAGCCTGCTTACCTTCTTTCCCCACCCCTTCACTGAGGGCCCGCTGATTGGTCCATTCCACGTGACGTCACCAGAGGGTATTTAAATACAGAGTCCGAGACCTTGCCGCAGAGTCGGCACTTTGAGCAGGCTGGGTTGCAGATAACGGAGGCAGCGTCGCGGCTTGGACCAGGGAAGGCTCCCGGGAGTGCTGCTGACGACAGGTAAAGGTGCGGTGCGGGGCTGGGGAGCCGGTGTCCCTAATCGGCTGTTAGAGGAAGGCTTACAGGAGAGTATCGCAGGGTGGAGGGGAAGGGGTCGCTTGCAAAGGCTCGAGATTGCAGCAGCAAGATTCGTTGCCTGCACCCTGACTCTTAGTTTGGGAGCAATGCTCAGCTTCTCCTTTCCTGCGAGGATTTCTCGCCTGGGGAATGGAGGTGTCGATATTTACTTCCATTCCGCAGCTCGGAGAAGAAGCTCTGAAAGTGGATTTTCCATGGGATTTCGCCCTCACCCTTCACTAGAGCCTCCTGAGACCTGAGTTTCTCTAGTTCTTAGGAGCCCCGGGGAGGGGAATCCCTGCAACTGCTTAAAAACAAAAAAAGGCAAAATTAATAGACAAAAGATGACTGATTTAGGAAAGATCAAAAAGTTGCAAATTATGCATGTCAGGAAAAGTCTCTTTTTCCTTTCATGACCTTTTCCTGTTTAGAATGCCCAGTGTGCTCTTATTAACTTGATAATTTCAAAGCCTCCTTCTTAACTCTACAGGACATTCCGAGACCTGCTCCTCAGCTCTGACCTAAACCCTAACTCACAATGGGGAACCACTTGACTGAGATGGCACCCACTGCCTCCTTCTTGCCCCACTTCCAGGCCCTGCACGTAGTGGTTATTGGGCTAGACTCGTCTGGAAAGACCTCTCTCCTTTACCGCCTCAAGTTCAAAGAGTTTGTCCAGAGTGTCCCTACCAAAGGGTTCAACACTGAGAAGATCCGCGTACCCTTGGGGGGGTCCCGTGGAATCACCTTCCAAGTGTGGGATGTTGGGGGTCAGGAGAAGCTGCGACCCCTGTGGCGCTCTTACACCCGCAGGACAGATGGGTTGGTGTTTGTGGTGGATGCTGCAGAGACTGAGCGGCTTGAAGAGGCTAAGGTGGAACTACATCGAATCAGCAGGGCCTCGGACAATCAGGGGGTGCCAGTGCTGGTGCTAGCTAACAAGCAGGACCAGCCTGGGGCACTGAGCGCAGCTGAGGTGGAAAAGAGGCTGGCAGTCCGTGAGCTGGCAGCAGCCACACTGACTCATGTGCAGGGGTGCAGTGCTGTGGACGGGCTGGGCCTGCAGCCCGGCCTTGAGCGTCTGTATGAGATGATTCTCAAGAGGAAGAAGACAGCCCGGACAAGCAAGAAGAGACGGTGACCTGAGATACCACCCCTCCATACCTACTAGGGGGTCTGTACGCTTGCATAGTCAGACAGTGCCTAGGATGTCTGTCAGCCTGGGGTTCAGGATCTGCCCATCTCAATGAAGGACTGAGGAGAATGGGGGTCCTGTTTTGGTGCCACGTTGGGGGAAGGATGGCAGGCGGGACGTCTTTACATCTCTCCTTCCCCCTCACCTCTGGAGAAGTTAGGGGCTATAAGACTGTGGAGGCTTAAATGTAAATGCTGGCTCTACCTCGACTCTGCTTCTCTTTTCCTTTCTCTAGCTTTCTCTTTGGATATTTGGAGCAGGATAGAAGCTTGCTCAGAGAGTGCATTTGGGGTGAACGAGAGCTATCTTTTTTCCTTTTCTGCTTCCCCAGCTAGGGAGGGTCTTTCTCCCCAGCTGCTTTTCTAGGGACATCAGTTACAATAGTTTTTATTTTTGTGTCTGTGTGAGTGTGCCAAGAATCCTTCCCCACTACCCTTTTTATAAACTATGTGTACCCTCTGTTATTATGAACTATTTTTTTTAGCATTTTGCCTGTAAGTTATTAAAGATTGATGATTCTAGCTCTTACTTTGGCGTGCCATTTTCTTCTCTCCTTATTTAGCTGCCGTGAAACTCCAGGATTTCTGTCTGGGGTGGGAGGAGGAGGGTTATCTTCAGGCTGAATTTGCAAAACAAACACTCATAAAAATTAGATTATGAACTAAAGGGGATAATGGGTGAGAACTATTGGGGTAAGTGAAAACCTCTTAAGCTATCTCTACCCTGATCTCAGTAGTTTTTGTGAAGGTCACATTCCTTTCCTCCCCTCCCTTTGTCCTTTGGTTCCTGCCCTTGCTACTAGCTGCTTCTTGCAGATTTAACTGCCGGTGTTGCTGGTCTAAGCTGCTCCTAGCTCTGTCTATATAGGAAAATCCTTGAAGAGCCATCCTCCTAAGTCCTCAGGTTTGTCTAATTCCCTGCCAGCCCCCCCCCCCCCCCCCAGAAGATGTGGTGCGAATGGAAAGTAATTCATCACTGGCCTTAAGCCACCTCTGTGTGCTCAATCCTGCTGACTGCAGCACTCTGGATGTATCAGCAGCAGCTGGTGCTGGGGAGGCCTAGGCTGGTCTGATGACTAAGCCCAGTCTTCCAGTATTCCCACAAGAGAAGCAGAGTAATTGTCCCTCAGCCCAACTCTTCAGGAGGGCGACAGGCAACCAATGTTAGTAGTCACTGTAAGAATAAAATGTTTCCTTGGCAGGGTACCAGTGGTTCATGCCTATAACTCTAGCTACTCAGGGGTCTGAGATCTGAGGATCCAGGTTCATAGCCAGTCCAGGAAGACAAATCTGATACTCTTATTTCCATCTAACCAGCAAAAAGCCAAAAGTGGAATTGTGGCTTAATTAGTAGAGCACTGGTGAAATGCTAAGGGATAGCTCCCAGGCCCTGAGTTCAAGTAATGCTACTCTACCCCCAAAAAATAATGTTTCTGTTGCAAGTGCCTGAGTCCCCTCTCAGCACCAAGGTCAGCTGAGTGATAACACAGAACAATTAGATTCTCCTAATCTTGCTGGGCAGGAGCAGTGAATTTAAGCCAAATAATTATTTCCAGCCCCTTTAGTCTTACTCCCACCCTTTGTGCAAACATTGGATCCCAGAAACAGGCTTAATCTCTGCTCCAGAATTAGATAAAAGGACTGGGGGAGGGAGAGAAGGTGCTGGGGGAGGCTTCCTGAAGAACTTGCTGCTTCCTACCCTGGGTTTCCAGAAGCTGAGCATTGGCCCATGTAGATTCCTCCCTCTCTGTCTCCAGTCTCTGGCTGGCAGGGTGGTTGGATGTGCATTGATCCAGAAGGGTGCCCAAAGTGTGCGTCAGTCAGAGCCTGCCTGGCAGAGCTGCTGGACTGGTTCTGCTGGAGACCTTTGTTACCTGGCTTCCAGGACACCGGATCATTCGTCATCTTCTAGCCCTTTGGGGCAGAGTAGCCAAGGAACGGCCTGATCTAGGCTGAGAAGGATGCAGCCAGAAAGATCTTTTATCCTTAACTGGAAAATTGTTCCTATCCATCCTAATTCTGCTCTTTTTTCTTTGTGTGTTTGTGGGGGGGGGGGGGAGGTGCTGCTCCTGGAGCTTGAACTCTGGGCCTGGGTGCTCTCCCTCAGCTCTTCAGCTCAAGGCTAGCACTCTACCACTTGAGCCACAGAGCCACTTCCGGCATTTTTTTTCTTTTTGCTTGTGGGGTGCTGAGGAATCGAACCCAGGGCCTCATTCATGCAAGGCAAGCGCTCTACCACTGAGCCACCTTCCCAGCCCCTAGTGCCCTAGTTTTTGAACCGCAGCCCTACCTACAGCTTTTTTGGTAGTTAATTAGAGATGAGTCTCTCACAGGCTTTCCTGCCTAGGCTAACTTCAATCCTAGATCCTCAGCTCTCAGCTTCCTGAAAGCTAGAATTACAGGCATGAGCCACTGGCATCTGGCTAAGTAGAATCTCTTTACGCCCCAGAAATGGGTGCTGAGAAGTTCCCTGGAGTGGTGGCTGGACCTGGATGCCTGGAGAAGAGGAAGGAAACTTGTCAGCCCAAACTTGAGGCTCACTTCTGAACCACCCTTCCTTCCACTGGCCACCCCTTCTCCTTGCACAAGTTGCACTGTAAAATCAAGATGGAGGGCATTTTCCCTGCACACTTTTCCCTGTGTCCTATGAAGACAAAGATAACATGGCCCTCCACTTTTCCATGGTCTCTGCAGCCTTCTTTTTACTGTGTGGGCTCAAGGAAGAGAGAAAAGAAAAAAGGGAGATATTCCTAAGGCCCAGAGTGGGCAGTGACTTGTCTAAAGACACCTTGTCACTTAGTGGTGGCTGCAGATCCTTGTTGCCAGGCAAGCTCTTTGTACAACTTGTATTGACCACAGCGGTGGGAGACTAGAGACCAAGTCTACAGCATCTCAGAGCTCTGGCTCCTCCCTCTCCCTGCCCCTCCTTCTTTCCCCTTCTTGATTAGATTAAGAACTAGCTTTCCTCTCTCCCACTCCCTTCCTGGCAAGTGGCAGCTTTTATCTCCCAAACCCAGCAAAGCTTTGGCCTCACATCTGGCCAGAATCTCCTCCCACTTTTCATACAGAGCACGTCCTTCAGGTTTTTCTTAAGGTGGACTCTTCCCTGCAGTAGATGGGCTGTTCTCCAGCATGGGCTTGTTTTAAATGGGGGACAGTGGGCAGTGAGAAGAGGGGATGAGAGACAGCAAGGCCCAGGTCTAGCACAATTGGCTGGTGGTAGAGTGTTGCCAAACTTGATTCCCAAGGCTACCTAATGGGGAGTCTGTGGGTGCTCATCATGGGACTTCTTCCCTTGGGGGAGCTGGAAGAAGCTTTATTTATTTATTTATAGTTGTGCCTGTCTTTGGGCTTGAATTCAGGGCCTGGGCATTTTTCCTGAGCTTTTTTGGTCAAGGCTAGTACTCTACCACTTTAAGCTACAGCTCCACTTCCAGCTCTTTGGTGGCTAATTGGAAATAAGAATCTCATGGACTGGGCTGGGAAGGTGGCTCAGTGGTAGAGTGCTTGCCTTGCATGCCAGAGGCCCTGGGTTTGATTCCTCAGCACCACAGAAGCAAAAAGAAAAAAGCCGGAAGTGGCGCTGTGGCTCAAGTGGTAGAGTGCTAGCCTTGAGCTGAAGAGCTGAGGGACAGCGCCCAGGCCCAGAGTTCAGGCCCCATGACCGGACCCAAAAAAAAAAAAAAAAAAGAATCTCATGGACTTTCCTGCCTGGACTAGCTTCAAACTGTAATCCTTAGATCTCAGCCTCCTAGTAGCTAGGATTATAGGCATAGGCCACCAGTACCCAGCTTACAGTTGTATAGGGTTTTTTTTTGTTTTTGTTTTTGTTGTTGTTTTTCCTGGTCTCTGGGCCTGGGCAGTGTCCCTGAGCTTTTTTCAGGGATAGTGCTCTACCACTTTGAACCACAGCGCCACTTCTGGTTTTCTGGTGGTTAATTGGAGATAAGAGTCTCATGACTTTGGGGCCCAGGCTGGCTTTGAACCATGATCCTCAGATCTCAACCTCCTAGCTAGGATTTCAGGTGTGAGCCATGGGTGCCTGGCCTAGTTTTGCTCTTTAAAAAATTTTGGTCAGGGGCTGGGAAGGTGGTTCAGTGGTAGAGCACTTGCTTTGCATGCATGAGGCCTTGGGTTCCATTCCCCAGTACCACATAAGCAAAAAGAAAAAAAGCCGGAAGTGGCGCTGTGGCTCAAGTGGTAGAGCGCTCGCCTTGAGCTTAAGAGCTGAGGGACAGCGCCCAGGCCCAGAGTTCAAGCCCCACGACCCGACCCAAAAAAAAAAAAAAAAAATTTGGTCAGTTGTGGGGCTTCTCTGGGCCTGGGCGCTGTTCCTGTGCTCTTCAGCTCAAGGTGAGCACTCTACCTTTTGAGCCACAGAACCACTTGCGGTTTTCTAGTGGCTTATTGGAGATGAGATAAGAGTTTCATGGACTTTCCTGCCTGGGCTGGCTTTGAACCGCAATCCTCAGATCTCAGCCTCTTAAGTAGCTAGGATTACAGGCATGAGCCACCGGCACCCAGCTAGTTTTGCTTTTTAAATTTACTTTTTGGACATGACATATTTCCAGAACATAGGAATTTTTCCCATTCTTTTTGATAAGTATATATGTTTCTTTTGTGTGAATATACCATCACTGATAAGTTAAATCCTGTTAAATCCTTGGTGTAGATGAGCCATGAACTTCCTTATGTGTGTGTGTGTGTGTATATATATATTTTGTGTGTGTGTGTATCAGTTGTGGGGTTGTGGGGCTTGAACTCTGGGCCTGGGTGCTCTCCCTCAGCTCTTCAGCTCAAGGCAAGCACTCTACCACTTGAACCACAGTGCCACTTCTAGTTTTCTGGTGGTTAATTGGAGATTAGAGTCTCACAGAATTTGCTGCCCAGACTGGCTTTGAACAGTGATCCTTAGATCTCAGCCTCCTGTGTAGCTAGGATTACAGGCGTGAGCCACTGGTGCCTGGTTTCCTTACGTATATTTCTTTTGGGTATATTTGGGGAAGATTTTGTGAAAGATAAAATTCCTAGAAGTGGCCAGGTGCTGGTGGCTCAACAGCACAAAACAAAACAAAATTTCCTAGAAGTGGAATTTTTGTGTGAAAGATCACATTTACATGTAAACTTGTATTTCAAGCTTTCAATGATAAAGCTTAAAAGTTTCTCTTTCTGGAGAGAAGGTTTGAGGAGAGGGAAATGTAAGCCAACCTCCTCTTTATACTGAGGTGTGTGTGTGTGTGTGTGTGTGTGTGTGTGTGTGTCCACTGGGATAGACATCAGAGCACCCTTGCTTTCTGGAAGGCAAGAAGAAATAAAATCACCAGCAACTTGGTAGTGGATTTGCTTAGATAGGCTCACTTTCCCAGCATAAGGATCAGCACCCTCTGGGGCTGCCTGGCTGGTGGTGGAGGTGGGCAGATGGTGAGGACTCCCTAGCACCCAGCTTGTCACAGACGTCAGGCAGAGTGGGCGAAGCAAGTACTGAAATAAATTCCCGGGATTTGGCTCAGGGAGGGAGGAAGGCTGAGA